TACACAAATTTTTTTTCTCTCGATTTTAGTGGACAATTTCCACAGATGTATACTAAAATAACTTTCATTATCTGTCACGATTTTAGTGGATAATTTTTACGCATAACATAAATTCAAAAGTTATCCATTTGATTCTACGCATATATTTAGATGTGCACCATCTTCTTCTACCCTGAAGTGGACATAAATATTATTTAGGTTTGGATACATAGACGATAAATAATAGGTAAAAACAAATAAATCTTCGAAAATGTTATGATATTTTCGTACACGAATAGAGAATTCGGAAGTGTTAGGCTATTCTTGTCCATCATATTTCCTAAATTTTTGTCCATTAAATTATGGTCGAAGATATTGGTAGACAAAAACAGTTAAGGTAGACAAATACATAAAGAAAGCAAAACTGATGTAGAGGTATAATTGTTTTTATGTCGCTGAATTGTGTAATTGTGGTAGGTTTTACAAGACATTTTTAATAATGGTAGTTTTTTTTGAAAAAAATGGTAGATTTGATAAAACTCACTTTTTCCTTTTGAGGTTAATGCTGCCAAAAACTCCATATGGGTCCCATTATTATATTTTATGGTGGGCCCAGCCCATTCGCCTTTGTCCTCTGAAGGTTCCTCCCACAACCACGTGGGCTTTTTGGCCCGTTCCCTCCAAACATTTTATTTTTATTTTTGGTTAAAATTATCATGTTTATCGATTTATGGGAGATATCGAAAAAAAACCGAGGAAATATTTTTTGTTTGTTGTTTCATGTACAAAAGATATTTGTCTATGTTGTGGCAATCTGACTTTGTGACCAATGTATTACTGTTTTTAATTTAACTCCTATTTTAGTAATTATCTCCCTATTTTATTGTATTTTTATGTGGTTTCGTTTTGGAAAAAGATGATAATGTTTTATAATAAGAAAAAAAAAACGTAAAAGATGCTAAAGATTCGAGTTAGTACGAAAATATAACCAGTACCACTGTACTGAGAAATTCATTGCACCTGAGAGAAAAATTAAATAAAAGAGTTGAAAGAAAATAATTAAAAAAAAAAAGAAAAAAAAGAAAAAATGAACAAAATCGAAATATAAGAGAGCAAAGAGTCCTTTTAAGTTGATCAAAGAAAAGAAAGATTAGCTTTCACTTACTTCCACTGAAGGAAAAAAAAGCCTTTTTGGATCATTTCAATTCAACAAAGACAAAGATGACTTCTCCATCATCGATCGTCAGACCAAATTAAGTTCTTGATTCACAAATACATACACACATATATATATATGTAGATGATGTTCTTACCAAGTGATTATTGTTGCAGGTTACACGACCAAGAGCTTATGGAGCTTGTGTTTGAGAATGGTCAGATTATTGCAAAGGGACAAAGATCCAACGTCTTTTCTTCGCAGAATCGACGTACGATATCGATCATGGATTTGTATGAAGCCGAGTATAACGAAGATTTCAAGAAGAGTATCCATGGTGGTAGTGGTGCTGATAGTGGTGTCTCTATCAAGAATCTTGTAGAGACACAGGTTGTTCCAGATCATCATCTTGTTGCTGTGAAAGCTTCTTCATCAAAGACAATGATCGCTACTTGCGAGAACCGAAACAATATCGAGTTTATACCACCTGATGAGCAATCCGTAGTTGCTGAAAGATCGATCGAATCGGGCTTTGATTCTTATTTTTCGACAGATGATACTGAAGGATCAAAGTATCTACTAAGCAGTGTAAGTGAAAATTTTCTTGGTTTGGTTTCTTTGGTGGGTTCTTCTTTGTCTGAAGACAATTTTTGATTCAACGCAGAGTCAAGATGACGATTCAGATGATGCGAGGCAACGAAGAACAAGAAAATATTTGGAAAAGAGAAAACAAAGTACAGAAGGTTATAGCTCATCTGAAGGAGTAAGTAACTTTTATTAGACCACATTGCTAAATAGTTAAAATTGCTGAATCTGATACATTCCTTGGTTTATGATTTTGCAAAACAGACGCAAACAAGAATGGAAATCAACAAGAGATTTCGTGCTTTGCAGGATCTACTACCTAATCCTCCCATGGTTTGTTTTGTCCATCAGTACCAACTTTTTAGTTTATTTCAAACACTATCAAAAGCTTTGAATACTCTCAATTGTTAATAGGGCGAAACAATGTTGGACGAGGCAGCGTTGGATGAAGCAATCAGTTATCTGAAGAACCTTCAAAATCAAGTTCAGGTCTTATTAAACAAATACATTTTATCGTACCAAACAAATAACGAATTCAATCTGCAGAGTCTTGTTCTAACCTGTATATAAAATCTTGGTTGGCAGATGATGACGATGGGCAACAGATTCGTTGCACCCCTGCCGCCAGTTATGTTGCCTTGGGACCCGTATTACTCGCAGATGGGTCTACCAATGGGTATGGGGTGTGCACCACAGTTTCTCAACCATCCTTGGCTAAGGCCAATGCATACCTCTTGGCTTTACACACCGATGGAGAACTACGCCCCTCAATCTGTCCCGCCATCGTGTGCTGCTCCCCCTGACCAAAGATCGAACTCCACCTCTGCCCCGAATCCTGATGATGCAACAACCGACTCAAGAAGTCAAGGAACAGGAACAGATGGAGAAATTCTCTCTGGTAAAAAACCCGAAAATCCGTGAGCAGATGAAATAGACAGAGAGATGATAGTTACCTGCTGAATTCACGG